TTACTGCGTCAACACAGTTCACAGTGCTCTTCAAAGTCCTTCCCAAGAAGCGTCGAGGGATACGCGGGCGGGGAACTTCGGAAGCTCGCCCGCTGGACTCGCGTGCCGAACGATCGTCTTCGCGCACCTTGCCTTTCATACAATGGTCGCACCAACTTCGCATCGGCAGGTGAGTCAACATATGTTCGTCGTATTCGGCTTTGTTTACGGTGTCGGGGATTCTTTTGTTCTTCGGCCGTCTCGCGGCCTCCGTCTGACGCATGAGGAGTGCGGGACTTCTCGCCACCTTTAGGCTTCTGCTTGGGCTTGGCTCTGGCATCGGCTTGCTTGTTTTTCGGCACTCGGCCTAGCACTCCTTGTCCTTGTTGGGGTTGGGGTTTGGGTTGTTCGTGTTTGAGCCTTGGTGCTTCTGCTTGTTTGCATCCTGGCCCTTACCTCTTTTGCAGGCTGTGTCCCCTTTCCCTTTTTCTTTGCCTTTGCCTTTGTCATTCTTTTTCCACGGCACAGCTCCAAGGTCCATGGGCTGTGGGAGATTCTGCAGGACACGATTGGTCCGTGATATCTCCAAAAGCTCGGTCTTCACATCCGAAAACGACTTGACTTGAGTCGGCTCGAGTTCCGGATGATGTGGCTTTGCAGGCTGCTGTCATTGAGCCCGCTAACCAGAATACGCAGCAGCATCTCCTCATCCAAGGTTTTGCTGCTCTCCTGTTCATACCTGTGCGCGCTCTTTCGAGCCCCACTAGGCACCCCTCCACATCGTTCCACATCATCACCAATCGTTCCACATCATCACCAAGCTTGCTCGATGACAAAGTGGTAAGGTCCCCACATAGCGAGATGCGACCCTCGGATGAAACTCCTGGAAGATGCGCCCGTACACCTCAAGTCCTTCACCGAGGCCCGTGTTGTATGTAATGTCGAGGAGTCGGCCCCTCAGCAACATCACCAACACATAGTAAAGCTGACATGAAAGATTCCGGTCAGCATCCGAAAGAGCCCTGTTTGGGAAGCTCGCTTTGGCAAACTTAGTCGAAGATAAAGGACCCAGAACTGAAGTTCTCCTCCGTAGAGCCTTTGAAAACCTCCGGGGTTCCCGAGTTGCCTGGTATCTACCAGGCCCGCCCTTGGGGCTGTTGGTTGGCTTGGCCCTGGCAAGTCTGTGTCAAAGGTGCCTGATGCTTGCAGCTGTGGCAGCTGGGCCTCCTGTGTCGCCAGCCAGAAATTCATCTGCCGTAGCATCACGTTAGTTTGCTGCAATTGCTGCTGGAGCTGCTGCTCCAGAGTCACCTGGCCCACTTGCGGCATTGCTGGGCCCGTCTGGGGAGCTTGGGGGTCCCAGTCAACCCCGCGCCATGTTCTCCATCGGAAGTTTCACTATCATCCTGCTCCTTTTCCTTCCTTACAGCCGCCTTGAATCAACAGGTGTCGCCTAAAGGTTGCTCACTTCCAGTTCGGCGGGCCTCGGGCTCAAACGCAGAGGAAGAAGCTTCTGTTCCATCCTGGGCGGCTGCTGGCCGCTTGGTCTGGCCGCGCTCTACCCGATGTGCAATAAAGTCGGCACTCCTTTTCCCCCTTTTGTTCTTCTTGACACGCGGTTTCCCTTTACCCTGCCCTTCTCAGGTCCGTCCTGGCACCGGTCTGGCTGCCGAAGCAGCCCTGGTGCGGACCTCCGGCAACCAGCCGGTACGGCGCGCTGAGCCGCAGGCACTCGGAGGAGCGGGGCAACCCGCGTCCTCTTCCCTCTGCCGAGCGGCCCGCTAGAGGGTGAGCTCAACTCCACTTGGGATACCCTGGCTCCGCTGCAAGGGTTTAGGTTAACCCTCAAACCACGCACACATGGCACAGGCTAACCTCTTTTGCTTTACCTTGTGCCAAAGGGGCTGCCAGTACAAACTATACAACGTGGTATTCAGACTGCGCTTTATATCCTCAGTATCACGCTCCACTCGTCTGCAGCAGGCTCCACAGGCCATTCTCCTCCACCAACTGCCGGCAGCGTCTCCCGACGAGCCTTGCGCACTCCACTGTGTAATACACCACTCTGCACTTGGAGTTTCGCAGCTTCACGGCTTGCAGTCCTAACAATGCTGCATGCAGCATGATTCGGATGTCTTGGGCGCCATACTTTTGAACAGATCCAGGTTGCGGAGGCTCCTCAAACTGTCATCCAAAGGAATCTGCTTGTATGAACCGGCAAAACGTTTCGAGCTCTTTCGATGTTGTCACCGTCACCGAGCACAAATTCGAAGAGCTCGGGCGCCATTTGGAAGAAAGAGGCTCTTCAGAATGGCATGTTTTGAGATCTGGAAGGGGTGCTAGATGCATCTTTTAGCTCTGTATATTCACAGCTCCTCGTGACGCCCTTGTACGTTTGCCCAACACTTCTGCAATACTGGCTGCAACTATCAAGGAAGAGTGTGAAACTGTCTTCGAGTCCTCGTCCTCCTCATCCGGGGGGGCTTCGCTCATCCTTGACCTGAGCTGAAGACTGCTGAGGCGGTTGAAACATCCAGCACTAGCAGTACTTACAAACAAAAATTGACGACACAGAGTTCCTTTCGTGTCGTGCCTAGTGTGCGTGTGTCAATAAGACTGGGCCAGGGCGGAAGCACACCACCGCGCAGGACAGCCTCCAAACCATGTACAAATTCAGAGTCCAGGACCCTCAGCGCAGTGCTGACTTGCATCCGTTTGGACCGAAGCCAAGAATACCGGGTCGCCGGACTGCCCGAGTCTTTGGGCAAAGACTGTACAAGCACAGTGGAAGCAGTCAATGCTCCGCAGTGTTCCGCAGTGTTCCGCGTCACGTACCACTTGGAGTTCAAGGTTCAAACAACGATTCATCAAGCAGCAAATGACGTGCTAAAAATGCGGCACCTGCTGGATGGCTGTTCTTGAGAACGATCCATGCCGTAATCCAAACAAGGTAGTCTATAGCTGAACGTTTGGCATCCAGCCCTGGCCGACTTACATCACTCAGCAGCCACAATTGAGGAAACGTGCACCCCTCATGCGTCGAATCTGTTCATGCGCCGACAAAATTATTCACAAAGGTCTGCTCAGCTCCACGTTTTCAACTGCAAACGCGGTGCTGATTCTGCTTTAGCTTTGCAAAATTAGAGCAACTGCTTCTCTTCCCAAAGGCTGCCACTATTGCTTTCTGAGCACATCGACGCACATGCTAGATATCTTCGACGCAAAGACACTGCACTTGTTGCCACTGCTGACCTTGCAGGTAACATGGCGACAGCCTTTGCAGCGAGGAAAATGGCGCCAGCACACCCATAGCTCTGCCATGTACCAAATTCAGGAAGATGTCCAAACGCAGGGATTCAATCAAAGAATACCTGCTGCCCAAGGACTACAGGTATTAAGGGTGCAGTCTAGGGGACTTCGTTTCGAGGTAGAGTCCCAGCACGATTGAACGCCTGACACGCTGCCTAGCTACTGGCGTCTTGAAAATCAAACACCAGCACTCCAGACCCACAACGTGCGATCGGTCTGAATTAAGGCATCCACCGCACAAAGGCACACATGTATCTGCACCGTATGGAACAGTTACTAGTCATTGGGACTCATGTCATTTGTGCCTGCCTATTTCGCTTCTTTTGGTCCACCTCTTCAACTTGTTTGCGAATGCTTTTAGGGCTCACGGCCTGCTTTTTGGTAGGCAACTCCTGTCACCGTCCTGATAATGCTTTCGGAATCTGTCCATATCTGTCCATTCCACGTGCGGTTTGCAGAAGGTTTCGCCACTCTTTTTTGGGTCAGGTTCGCCTCTCTTTACACGTCGGCGAACCTGGGCATCTGCGGTATCTTTCATGCAGAACGTGTGTTGCCAGCCCTTTGTTATTTCTGCGCTACCACTTTGAACATGTTTTCGGACCTGTGCAGTGATCTTACTTTTTCACTTCTTGTGGGGTTCGGTGCTTCTTTGCATTATCGCCCAGTAATTACCTTTCAGATCCTTCAAGTTTCGATTGTGCGGCTCTATTTCGTCCACAGGTTTATCGCCAGGGCTTTGGGCAAGCCCATGCTTTTCGAGGCTCACCTGTTCTTTGCTGGCGCAGGCTTTCTTCCGACTCTTTGCCGGGTTGGACCCAGGCTTGCAACTCCATCTGTGGCTCGGAATTGTGCACTCCTTCTGGTGCCACGGCGTGTGCTCGCAACCACAGGCAAGTCCAAACCCAACCCCGAGGCACAGCGGTGCTTGCAGCACAAATTGCCCGATTTCCCGAAACCAGCACCCTGCCACACACCACAACGTAGGATGCACTACACCGTTGCTTTTTCTCTATAAAACAAGGAATAGATTCTGCAAATCCTGCACGTATTCCCACCGAACAGCGAAACGCATGCGCCCACACGGGCCCGTTTTGAAATCGTTCTGAGTGTGCCTCCATACATCTGATATGAATGGACCTGCCGCCTTGCCATCAAGTGACAAAGGCGGGAGGCAACCATCAAGGAGGCGAGGGTGCCTACGTCTTGAGCTGCCTTCGCGATCTGCAACTTCCTCAACTAATCATCATCCACTTCAAGACAGCGGTGCATCCTGTACCATGTGCCTTGTGTAAGGTGGTCGGTTCCATGCGTTATCAAATCCCACCTACTACACTGGGAAAAAAGGCTCGTATGGAGCAAGTAGCATCCTAGCCAGAATCTGCTCATTCTGAACAAACTGCCCCTTGGTGCGTGCACATTGCCATGTTCGTCAATTAAAACTGCTTGCAGTTAGCGAGATTCCGTCCAGAAATGTCCGCGGCTTGGAGGCGGAAACAAAACAAGCCACTGCTTAAAGACTTAGTGGCGTACGCGGCTTACGACTCTTGACTGGAAGAGACCAGAGGTCGGCATATGTCACGGCTGCCTCAACCTTGCGGTGCACCGCAGTCATGACAGCACCGCATGCGCAGACTAAGACTCAACAATCTTCATTGGCCGTTCAACATGCAATGACTGGCACCCTGCCTGCCTGTACAATCCATTCGCTTTCATCACAGCGACACGGGGCCTGAGCATGCAAACTAACAGTCACATGGATCTGCGTGTCGGAGACAGCATCACAAAAGCTATTTCACGGCCTTTCCACCGAGTGATGCAGCACGGGCATTAGACTGCGGCAGAGTAGTACTGCAAAGTAAACATCATCTTCAGTTGCTATTAAAAGTTCCGCAGCAGGCCGCGCACGACAACTACCCGAACACACAGACATTGCCAAAAGGAGCTTAGTCGCTACTGAAGACCGAAAAAGCAGAAAGTGCAAAAGCAGGAGAATTCCCGCACCACTCAATCCTACTTCCCCGCAACTGCCCCTAAACTGATCCAATCCCAAGCCTGTACCCAGAGCATCGGCTGTGCAGCCGGTCACTCTCCCATAAGCATCCGACTTGTAAACACGCACTCAGAGTGGGTGAGCTTGACCATTGACGAAGCTTGCAACTTCGTCATCGAACATTCCTGGAACTTCTTGCAGACTGGGCTAGAGGTAGTTGGTAGGCAGTTTGCATCTTCTAATGCTCCAGGCGGTGTTCAAAGATGCGATTGTGCCACGTCCAACGCATCAGTTCTCTGTACCAAGCTTCCCTGCGCTGGGGCTCCAAGTCCGTCATGGATGCCACTGTCGAGCAAGTGGACGTGCGGCGACGGCCATCAGCTGCGGCAGCACTCCACCTGTTCTGCACAGGTTGGCATGTGCTGAAGGCCTTGAGTTGAGCTCTGCACCTCTCGGACAGCTCCGCAAAGCCTCAGTGTTCTGCTCCAACCGAGATAGAGGTGCCCGGGTCAGTACAATTCTCCGTCACTGGGCATTAATAGCAGGCTGCGAGGGTGACACGAAGGTCAGATTCGTAGAGGCTTTAGGCGCTTGTGAGCAGATCTCGAGCTGGGCTTTGAAGGTTGGGAGCCGGGGAGCCTTGTTCTGTGTCAATTTCGCACAAGTTCTGCTAAATTGGCGCTGGCGCACTCGTGAACTGGAACATCACATAACTCAGAACATGCATCGTGAATGCACTACAGTAGCATGATGGGTGGCTAAGGCTGAAGTCAACTTTACGGTATTTTGGGGTATTCAACTCAACTGCCCCCGTTCTCGTACGAACTCAGAGCTGAACATCGACGTTCACTGGCGGAGCACTTAGCCCCTCAAGCTGGCTTAGCCACATAGCCCGAGCCAGGCTCGGGCTGCAGACACATCACGTGAAGGGTGTAGGCTCGATCGCACGCATTCAAGTAATTCAAGCAAGTGACCTTTCTGTCCTGCTTCTTCAGATGCAAGCACGCTCAAGATGCTCTTGCAAGTGTTTTGATGCACCTGCCGCTGAGATCGAGGCGTGCAAACATCATGTAGTACTGCACCAGGCTCAAAAGGTAATGCGTGATGGTACAAAGCCTTTTCCAAGCTCGTCTGTATGCCTTTGGCCTGCCACGACTTTGTTTCACAGGGAGACGATCTGAACAAAACATGGCACTCAACACGCGTTTAAGCCTTCACACTGAATTTTGGGCGGATCTCCTCAAGTTCGTCAAACAAGTCGACATCCTGAAACTTGCGTTCACAGAATGGTGTGATGGCAGCGGCTTGACAGGGTCAGAGCATGCCAAAATCAGAGCACACTGTCCGCTGCGTCCGGCAAGACCAGATTTGGAATCTGCAGCGGAGCACGGAGCATCACTCGTGAATCTTGGGAGGAGTCATAAGTTTGAACCTAGTAATCTTCCTTTCTTGTCTCTTCATGCTTCCGATCCCCATTTGTCGATGGTACAGGATGTGAGATCTTCTTCGGCTCTTGCCTATCGCTGAGTTGTTCCTTCCTTTGCGCGTTGTAGTTCCGTCACTTGTCGGAGTCTTTCTTGCGTGTCGCTGCCACTCGTCTGTCAGCGTTTTTGGCTCTTGACTTCAAGGTGCTTCGAGTCACCTGCTGTGATCTGCAAAACCAGTCGCTCGCTGTGAAGGGTTCGACGAGACACATCTTTGCTCATCAAGCGCCGTAGCATCTTTAACAAAGCGCGCCTCGTTAATGTCCCACGTCGACTGTACTGAAGGCCGCAGAAGCCTCTGTAAGCCACGCGCTCTGCTCGCCGCACCGTTCCCAATCCTAGTCGCCTGCATGTAGCGCTGCCAAAACCAATACGCAAGAAACACCCTTCGGACCCTTCGCTTCTACCCCTGCAACAAGCGAAGTTTCTGCTCACGTGCTCTGCATTACCATTCTCAACATTCGGAAATGGAGGATGGCCATTTAAGTGATCCTTCGGGCAAGTTGCGGCGCTTTCGGTGGCAGGCAGGTCACTTCCTTTGGAAGGTCCTGTCTGGAAACCTGTGCAAGCTACGGCCAAGCAAACCGAGGCCTGACAGATTGACTTGCTTCACAACACTGGCGCCTCACCATCGTTGGGAATCAAAGCCTGACCAGGAATTCCAACGTACAATCCAGTTGAACCATGCACTACTTGAAGATTCAGCATGTTCAACACCTAGCTGCGCATGTTGATGCTGCTCCCTTTGAAGCCCCGTGATGCACAGCATTCTATGGTGATCACATGCAGCCATCATCAATTATGCGTTCGATGTGAGTTGACTATGCAGGCGGGCCTTTGCAACAGATCATCGGCAGAGTGATTTGGAATCATCAAGGTATCTCCCTAATGCGAACACACCATCGGCTCTTGTGCCTGAACTATTATCAGAGCTGCGTGCTCTCTACCAGACGACCCTGCACTATCTTAACGGCAACCCACTGCATAAGCTTGATTTCACCAGCGCAAACCGACCCCAACTTGAATCTGTGCGAATCTCCAGCAGAAATCTCAAAGCCGTCCTGTCGTCATGGACACACAGGCTGTTCACTTTCAACGTGAGTTCGACATTCAGCAAGAGTTCAAGAGCTTGATTAGTTCGTTGATCTTTTTCAGTCGATGTCAGAGAGCACCATGCTATGGTTTGTTGCATTCGCACGGCTGTGTTGCTGCGCATGCTGTGTTGCTCGTGTTTTGGCTGATCTGCCTGCAAACCCATCATGGTACTTTTTAAAGATGTTAACCTGTCGTCGAGCGCAGTTGCATGAAGAGGGAGCTGTGCTCGTACAAACAAACAGCGTTGTCATGGGCACTCTAGAAACCCTTGGGACAGGTTTCCATGACTCACCCAGAATTTGTTCGTTGCTGATTCTCTTCTTTTCCTGCGCCAGGCCTTCATTGCCTGGAACAGCAGCGCGCCCATTTTCGGAGCGCCTGGCACCCCATCGATCAGTGCTATTAGTTGGTACTGTCAGCTGTCGCAGGTCAAGGAGCCACAACCCAAGAAAGCGACTCTTGCGATTTCTGCTTTAATGGCGACCATGGCAGCTACCTTGGTGCGACGTCCAACGGCAGCCGTGCCCGTGGGCTACATGGGCAGCCGCTGTCCCAAAATACTTCTGTTCTGCAATACGAGAAATTCTGGACTCCGCACGCATCGCGGTCGATTGGTCGCATGTTTCTGTCAGACCATCCCTTCCAATCAGGAAAAACTAAAACAAAAACGAACTTTCAGCGAACCCACGCACTTCTGCCAATGGGAAGGCAGTTTAACTTTGTCTACAAGCCTACACAACTCGCGGCATTTGGTAGGCATGTAAACGATCGCTCTGGCCAGTAGTGGTGGAAACAGTTGTAAGGCCAATGACCAGTCTTCTTCTCTTCAGTTTCAGTGCTTGATGCACGTTGGCCGGTGGCATCATGGCACCAGACCCTTTTCACTGCGTAGCACCGTACCGCACATGTCTCGGTGCCTGCTCTTCCAAGCCGTGTTGCAAACATTCCTGGTTATGTGTATCCACACGGAAATCATAGTTTTAGGATTTGGCATGCTTGCCGCAGTACAGTCCATCCCCCATGCTGCTGTTCTGCAGATTCAAAAATGCCACGTTGTTTTTAGCGAGACGCTCAGAACGATTCGACTGTCTGTCTTCCAAGTCTTACAGAAGCGATTCTCCGACACAGCAAGGGCTTTTTTGGGCTACGCAGATGCCCCGGTGCTAGTTAAAGAGGCGAGGCACCGTGCGGGACATCGGGCAAGCTGGGACTCTTGTCTTGCAATTGCTGGGATGGTCTCAGCCCGTGCATGATGCTCATGCACATAAAGCTCCCCTATGTCAGCCATCCTTACGCTCCTGTGAGGGCTGACAGGCTGACAGTTTCGAGTGTCATCATGTGTCTACTTCATGTTTTTCACAGGAGGGCTGGAGGGCGACCTGCGTTGCAATCTTCGTTCCAGGGGAAGCCCAGGCCGATGGGCGAGGCCTCCTCGGTAAGCGCAGTACAAAGCGCAAGTCAGCTTCTCTGCCACAGAACAAAGAACGAATCTAAGCCATGCCAGGAATCGACAGTGCTGCGTGGAATCACGAAATCGAGGTTGAAGATATCATCATATGATTCAGTTGCAGGCGGAGGGAGCATGAAGCCATGAAGATCTTCGCTCTCTGGCGGGGTCTTCAGTGGCTGGCTACAAGGAGCACGGGGCGGCATCAAAGGCTTGGGAAGAGCATCGGCGACCTCAGACCCGAGACTAGCGATCAGCTCACGAACGACATCCCATCCCACGTTGCAGAATCATGCTGGGATTCGAACCATTGCAGGGCCGGCACTGGCGGATTGCCCGGTAACACTAATACAGCTCTACTTGGCGAGGGCTCTAGGACTCTCGGAGGAATCAACTCGAGACCACCCTCGCAAAGGAGCTCGCTTGAGTAGCAACGACTGCACAGCCCAATGCCGCTTGCTTGCATACTACATGGCACGGCACGCGGACTATCTGCTTTGGCACCAGCAACCTCGACAAAATCAATCAGGAGTTGGCGTGCTGGACTCATCCAAAACTCCTCGGGCACTGATCATCTTTGACAGACATGCTTTGGTGACAGATGTGGCTTCCTCGGTTTGGTTCTTGGGAATGCCCAAGAAGCCGAACCTGCACTGTAGAATCTCGCACTAAGTCTCTGAGGCTACGTACTTCAGTCAAATCTGCTCTGCTGTGCACTAGCCTCGGGGTGTTGTACGCGGTGCTCATGGCCACTGCGAAGGCAGGAAAGCGACCTGCATCCCGAAAAAGGAGAACTGCCGCCAAAACGCATGGCATTTGGAGGATGCAACAGGACTGGGAAAGCACGGAGGCTTTCCCACGTCTTGACGAAGTTCGCGTGCGTTCGATGGCATGGGACCCCTGCCCTCACAATTCTCAAAATCCGCGGAGCACAAGGGGAGGGCGGATCGAGAAGGGGAGGGGAGGCGGGATTCGTACCCTGATTGGAGCACAGTACCAGTGCGGGCAGTTTCAAGGGGAGGGGGGGGTTGCCTTTGCTCCGTGGGTTCCATAATTACGAGAGGACTCTGCGCGTGCACCTCGAATCGTAGAGTAGGAGCCCACCTTCCTGTAGTCCTGATTTTGGGCAGAGTACAAGGGGGTGGCTCGTACTTTGGATTTGAATGTGAACCCCTCGTCAAATGCAAGAGCAAAAGATCCCCCCATTAGGCTTTACCCAAATCAAATCCCGGACTACAAGCCACCCCCTCTTATACTCACGAACCCCACCTTTTATTTGCTGTGTTCAAATCCAAGACTACGACAAGCTCACCGTCCCCCTAATTACTTTGCTCAAAACCAAGAATACCTCTAAGAGTGCCTTCTCCCCCCCCCAGCTTCGTTCGGCTCCTGCACGGACCCAGGACCACTCCCCGCTAACTCTGGTCAAGTCCATGAAAGAGCACCAGGCCCCGTCCCACTATCGAAAGCGAAACAAACATCGCCCCAGCGAATATAAGGTCTGCACGTATTTCGAGCTAACTGAATTTCGACTCCCGGCGCGGAATGAACAAACAAGGGCCAGAAACTGCGGCTTGAAAGCCTGGCTTGGCCTGGTGGTATCCCGTGCTGTCGCCAATCTGATGACCCTCGTGCATGGACACATGCATTTAAGTCGAAGGAGTGACTGCGTGCTCTGCATTTTAGCCCTTGGCGCCCCACCCAGAGAAGCATTCCGGACGGTAAATGCCATTCGGCCAAAGAAACGGCTGCACAGCTGAAACATGGCCTCGATGCACGCTTCTCGTGCCACTCCAACAGGAAGACACAGCTTTACTTACTCATATGAAGGTCTTGACTTCTGCTTCTCTGTAAACAATCTAATCAGAGCCTGCTTCTGAGATCCCCGTCTCGTCTGGGTACTTCGGCATAGCTTCCAGGGACGTTTAAGTTTCGGACGCCACGCGCGGCCGTATCCAACTTTCCTCCCTTCAGGAAGAGCTTTGCGATGGGCAAGCCGAGGTCCTGTCGAGTCAACCAGCCCATACGGTCGGAGTCTCGAGTTTCACTGTTGGCAACTCAGACATCACACAATGCTCCCTCTATTGCGCCTCATACGGTTCCTCGTCTGCGAACTCGCGGACATCACCCTCGGCCCATCTGACATACATCGACTAAGCAGATGCCCTGCATCCAACTGCCTGCAGCATGAGCTCCTTGCAAATGGGGCAAGCTACCTGGCTGCCTGCTACCACGAATTTAGTGCTGCGCCAAGCAGGGGACTGACACATTCAGAAGCCACCTTGGCATGAATGTCAAAGGGACGGGACGACCGTAAAAATACTCTCAAAGCAGCAGCCCTAACGACTTGCACGAGTACAACGCAGGAAGGGCCATGCATTGCCAGCGTCTGGGAACGCAGCGAGCGAAACTCCTCAGCAGAGCCCTCATGGAAGTGTCGAGGCTGCTCCTGAAGAGAAGTTTCTTTGAAGTTGCGGCGCATCGGGAGAACTGTCACCTCGCCAGGGCGGAAGGCCAGAGCACGCCCACGGAAGTCGCTGTCCGCGGAAGCCTCTGACCAAGGAGGCTCTGGCAACTGGCGCGGTGCAACACAGTGGTGAAGACCGGAAGACCCACGAACAAGCTGCGTGCAAAGCTCCCGGCCGTGACAACGTTTCACATGAGCAAGTCCTAATTTCCTGTGTTCGAGCCTGCAGAATTCCAATGTCAAGCCTGGGCGAGAGCACTCCCATCCCAAAACCCTCTCATTCATACTAGCCGGGTGGCACGTGCTAGCTTCCGAGCACAGCTTGTGAATAGACTTGGACTGCATCAGACTGTGTGAGACTCTTGCTGATGACATGGAACAAAACACAGGCAGGGGGGGCCGTTGGTTTGCAGAAATCCTTTCAAACGTTCCAAGCCATGACTAGATTGCCACAAATCTTGCCATCTTCATCGCTCAGGAGGGTTGAACAGCTGCGCCTCAAAGACAATGCTGTTGGACAGGCTTACGCCTGTGCCGGACGTGCTCCGGCACCTGAAAGAAGAAACGGTAGCTAGAGGAACCAAGCCTTGGGTCGCTGCTTCATGCGTTGCTGGTGCACAGCCTGCCTGCAAACGTGACAGTCGGTCCACTTGAAGGACTGCGCTACTAGAACAATGATCCCCACTGCCTCTCCCAGGTTGTAGCATCTGAGCGGAGTACGACGAGGCTCCGAGTTGGAGCCTGAGGCTACCGCGCAAGAAGCTGCCCATACTCATGACATCGCAAGCACGGAGGGCCAAGCAACTCGCTTCTCCCAAGCTTGCTCGGCGGTCAACTCGAAGAACCTAAGGGCCATTGACGCCTTCCTCGCCAAGGCTGGACGGCTGGACTCAAGGGCATCTCAGGGTCGAGCTGTTTCCGGGAGAGGAGCTCCAAGCTTTTTGACAGAGCTGCCTCTGAGTGCCATCTGGATACCTTGCGATACCTCTCGTTGCCGCGAGTGTTGAGTGCATCTGGGATGCTTCATCGTGCCGCCCACGAAGAAGCACAGGCTCAAGGCCTGCGGCTTCAATCCAGGGACCCGAGCGACAAAAAAGAACATATCCATGTCCCGCCTCCATGTCGAGAGAAAGCCAGATATCGGCACTCGCGCGGAGCTTCCGGACAGCGTAACCCTCGCCAGGCTAGGCTACTCCGAGATGTCGCATTAATAAACAAGCCTCGCTGCAAAGCATTTCAGTGCCAAGTACTGTCATACGCTGCGTTTGCTTATCACGTCAGGAGCCATTTGCACAGAACCTCCAACACCAAAGACAGATCGGCGGGCTCATCACAATTGCCCCGCTCAGCATCGAGATCTCTAGTAAATCCTCGTTGGCTCCGAATTCGCACGACCTTGCACTTGGCTTTTCACTCTACAGGAAACTCATCAGTGAAGGACTTGATCAGCTTATGCTTGAAGCCCCAATTCACAAGATAAGATGCGTTCGATCTCGATGAAAACCGAGAGGCCCGTGGTTTTGTACTCACAGCTTGCGCGCCTAGTCGGCGTGCAAGCGGCCGAGCTGCACGGCTTCTGACGTCCATGGCGAAGAGCAGCAGCGGCACAGAAGCCTGAAGCAAGAGGAGACTGAAGCAGGATGCAGGCGAAAAGGGCACAGGGGCCTCTTTCGCTCCGGCTGCGGTCTGCCAGTCGAAGACACACGCAAAATGCACATCAAAGATGTCCGACGACAAGGCCCGCCCAGGCCTTCTTCGCAGCTGCTGCGAAGGTTCTATCAGCAACCTGGCGAAAGCCAAGCTGGCGACTTTTGCCAACAATCAGGCTTGTATTGTACTGATTTGGTCTCTTTGCTAGCCGGGGTACGCCACACTGCTCACATGCGTGGTGTCGAGCTAGAACCACCACGGCTTCCACACCTGGCGGCAGCCCACAACTTTTCACGGAACCTAGTGACGCACGATCTGTGTTGATCGCGCCTGAGAGCATCGTGGAACGTTCCAGATCGGTCTCAGTGGCCAGTTGGGGAAGGTACCTTCGCGAGCATCCATGGATGTTGTAACCATCGGCAGTACAGACAGTCTTGTCCTGTAATGACATCCACGACAAGGACAGCTGAGAATGGGATTAGGAATCCTGCTAAGCTGGCTTCCGCTCGCATTGCCCTCGCAATAAAATCCGACTCTCCCTCTCCTCTGTACAAAGCGAATCTCAGACTGAAGCTCGGCCTCTGTGGAAAATCAAGACAGCAGCAACATCTGAGACCTTTGAGAGATACGCGTGTCCCACTGGGAAGGTCTTGCCCGTTTGACAAAACCATCCCCTGGTATCGCGCAGCTTTGCCCTCAAACAAGCCTGGAAAGCTATGCGAAGCTCTCAAGCGGCTGCGCTTAGCCGCTATAAGCAGAAGCAGGGCAGGACCTGAGACATTTCCAGTCCCTCGAGAGATGGCGACAGGGAAGGCCAGGCACACAGCAATTCTTTCTTGCTGAGCTGCGGGCCAACAAAGGCGGAATCAGAAACGGGATCAAGCATGCCTGGACGTGACACGTTCGGTGCCAACCGAAGCTGACGGCCTTCTTCTGGACATGCTCTTTACAACTGGCAGCTGTCCCCTCTGTAACGACCTTGCATTACAAGCTGCAGGAAGGCAGCAGTGGTGGCGAAAAGACAGCTTCAAGTGATGTCAACAAAGCAGTAACTAAGGATCCCCCGTGAGCTCGAGCAAAGCAGTTTGTCCAATATGTTGCCGACGAGATGCCGACGTTCCACAAGTGCATGGCATCAAAAAGATCATTGAAATGATCCTTTGCTGTGGCGCATGTCTGCGGCCTACGGTCTTCAAAACTGTAAGCCATCAGTGGGATTCAACATGTGCCATGAAATGTCTCCTAGCACACAGTCTTTGACAACATGTCGAAAGGACACGCACATGACTGTCTCTTAAACGCGACTTGGAAATCGGAAAAGCAATGATGTATTCAAGGAGCGTAAGGATGATGAGGAAGGAAAAGAACCAGCAGCATCCTGCCAGAGAGTTTCAAGATGGCATTTTCACTAATTACCCGTAAACCGTAGTTACTAGTTGCATTCCGCCAGGGTGAGACCTCCTCGAAGCCGAAGCACGAGGTGAAGAGTCGACTCCTTCTGAATGTTGTAATCAGACCTCACTTCAAGGTTCGCCGAGGTTTCAAGCCATTCAAAAAAAGCTGATTCCTTTCAGGACTGCGTATGACTGCGCGACACTCTGGGCACGAAAGCTATGCTGAGGGTTAGGAAGCTAGAGCCACGCGGCTGATGCCTGCACTGCTGAAACATCGCTGCATGTGGAATCGATCCACCCTTCGCGCGTCTTTGGAGTCGATCGCAGTCCCCTGAGACTGGAAGGCCTCACAAAAGCCGGTGCCTCTCTGGCCCGACCCTGTGGCTTGGCTTCGCCTCTTGCCGGAGACTCGAACTGCTGGAGTTGTGCCACTTCAACAATTCCCGTGAGCATAAGCAACATATGTTGTTTCTTCAACTCCAAAAGAAAAGCGCTGCAGCTCATGAACGCTTTTCTGGTCACTCCAATTCAGCGACTTGGGGACTTGGGCTTGGAGGCGTCGCCTCCTGGACGTGTCAGGGTGAACTATCTTATCGCGTTTTTTCGTCTTTTGAGGCTTCGCCGACGGCCGGCGAGAGGCCGAATCCAAAGACAACGCGGCAGGCAGAATCGACCCAACTCCGAGTTGCTCGAGCAATCTACGGCATCATGGTTGGCAGCAGAGCTGGGATCAGGGATCCAGACAGTGTTCTCCCATCCTCGAGCTGCTTGCCAGCGAAGATCAAGCGCTGCTGGTCAGGAGGGATGCCTGCAAGCACCGTGCACCGCAGTGGCAGCTTGAGAACCGACAGTGGCAGCTTGGCCTTCCTTGTCCTGAATCTTTGCCTCGGGGATTGAGTCGATGCTTCTTTCAGCTAACCTGTTCAAGGCACCAGCTACAGTCCAGCCTTCACATTGTCGATTGTGTCGCTTGCTTCCACGTCCAACGTAATTGTTTTTCCTGTCAAGGTCTTGACCTCAGCACCAGCAATACAAAGCTAAGCACTGCGACTGTGGGTGGAGCAATTCGCGGAAGACGCTGGGCATATTCAACCCGATACGACTCTGATCGCAGCGAGAACATGTCGGATCACAACAAATGAACTTGCGGATCCCTTCTTTGTGTGTGGCAACATGCGTCATCCCATGCTTTGTCCATAGTTATTTACTTCGCCAAGCTCTCGGGAAGAGAGCCTTCAACTTTCAGAACAATACGACAATATGGAAACCCAAAATATTGACAGGTTTTTCAAGCGTAACAGAAAAAGCAGCATGTCTGAACCGTGAATGCCGTGCAAACCAGATTCCTGGGAAATGAGCTTGCTACATGACCACCTGTAGAGCATCTGGATGCTGGACCATTTCAGCTTGAGGCCGGCACGAAAATTTGCATTCCGGCGGCAATAGCTCGAGGCCAGCAGGCGTCCAGATCGGCAGCGCTGTGTCGCGAAGGCAAGGAACCAAAGCACTCAAGCAAGAAGCTGGTTGGCAAACGGCACGAAGTGCAAAATTGTTGCATGCAAGCTGCATACGGTGCTACAAGGAAGTGACCACAACAAGTGACACAGCCCATCCCTGGGCACTCAGCATGCTCCTCAAAGAAAGTGTCCTGTCAGCAAAATTGGAAACTGGGAAAAAGCGTGATGTAAGGCACAAGGTATGTGGAGCAATCTATAGTACGAAGAAGTACTTATCGGAACAGCTGACGACAGCTGGGAGATCCCGAAGGCGGCGGCTCAACTCCCAAACGCAGGACTGTCCAAACCGGTGCTCATGGGCTGCCTCCGTTGTCTCAAGCTTGTCATCATCTCTGGACCAATCCCGATCCATGACCTGTCAAACTGTCAGTGTATCAACCACTGCGGTGTGCGTCAAGTCTACGAAGGTCCTGCCGATAGTTCTTAGGATCATGAACCAGAGCAGGCCAGGCCTGAGTGGAGCGAAGTGTGTAAAAATCGTCAAGCGTTATGTTGGCGGCTTATGTACATGTATGAAACAAACAAACACTTCCGCCAGGCACACAGTGAAGTTTCAGCACGGCGCTGCCGGAAAAATCTTCGCCAGGGTCATCAGGACCTTCGAGCAAATCAACCAATGTCCGGGAAGAACGAACCCACAAATGTCCTGCTTCAAGTCTTACGAAGCGCTGCCCTGTGCGAACATCGGCTTCTGGCTGGCTCGCCCCAGCGCTCCTTTTTGGATAGCCTGGGCGCGAAAAAATCTTGCTCACTCAGGTGCATGCTGCAGATCTCTTGCATGACTTTCAAGCTTCGTTTCGTGACAAAGGCGCATCACCGGCTGCTGAAGGGAATTCTCGCCGTCTCTTGTATGCAGGAAAGCTCTTGGCTCTTGAGCTAGGCAAGACAAGACAGACGCGACTCAAGAACCAGCGCATTGGCTGGCAGGACCCAAGCCCAAATCTTCAAGTCGCTCGTGTTCAAGCCACTAAGTCGGGATCTCAGAAAAGATTTATGAAATCTTGCAGAGCCAACACAGCATTGCCATCGAACACTGACTGACCGTACAAAGCCAACTGTACACTGTCTGCCCAGTTTGTATGATTGAGGGCCATGATCATTGTGTCTTCAACCGGCGCCAGGTATCCGGATGGTCGTCTCATGCCGCCAAGGTAGCACATGACAGCGCATTGGGGCATCATCTGTAGCGTAGTCGTCAAGGCGATGGACAAAGTCATCTTCCACAGTTGTCCTTTCACCTGGTCTAAGCACTCTGCTGTCTCATCGTGCTTCTCTGCGCCATAGAAGAACAAGGCGATGATAAGACCCCAAGCAACAAACATCCAACAGTACACCAGCAGCATTGGTATGGTGTGCGTGAAGATGGCAGCTACCGGCACGCCAGCTGAACAAACAATGAATGCAATGAATCCCCACATTGGTCCGTCATCATCCTCACCTTCCACCCAAAGGTCAACCATCAGTTGCACTCCTGTATTGAAGTGGTTGGAGCTCACAATCACGAAGACCACGTAGTTGTATGTTGCCCAAGAAGTATAGAATGGCGAGTTGTTGACAATCCAGTTAATGGCCCACACACTGCCATAAAAGGAGAGCAGCAGCTGGTACGTCATGAACACGAGCTTCGCGACACTGACACGGACACGTCCAAATGAGGTGCGTGGCCCACCGGACAGGCTCCATGACATAAAGAAGTAAAAGGCATTGATGCTTGCAATGACAGTGACAGGTTTCGGAGGCATACCCTCCCCGTACAGCAAGTCATTCTCTAGCCATTTCCGTTTGTCCAACTCGAGTGCTGGAAGTGTTGATGTCATAGTGGTTGTCCACATCGTTGAAGTTTGGCTCGTTGAAGTTTGGCTCGTTGCAGTCTGTGTTGTGCCCGTTGCTGTCCTAGTTGTCAAAGTTTGCGTCACTGTTGTGATCGTAGTTGATGTCATCGTCACTGTTGTGGCAGGTGAATGGAAGATCCATGCAATGAACTCGCCAATCAAGACGACCACACAAAATATCAAGATGATCACAACAGCAACAGGGCCCAAGGCAATTGCAAGCCCTATCGCGGCGGCCACCAGGGCTATGAGCACGAGCGCCTTAAAGACAATCTGGGAAGCAAAGACCAGACCCGTCCAAATTTGCACAAAGAAAAGCCTGTTCTCGATTACCAGGGGATGCTTCACGTGTGCAACGTAGCCGATGTACCATCCAATGCCAGCACAACACGCCACGCCTGCAATGGCCACCAAGGCCAGGACAACCAGCTTGGCTACGCACCTCCAAGACGCCATCTGCCCACGCGTTTGGAGCCAACTGCTCTTGCATAGCCAAAAACAAATATGGACGTGAATGTAGAATTGAATTCTTGGAAAACGGGCAATCATTCATGTTCAGCACGCAGCATATCCCTTCGCCTTGCTTTCTCAGAGTGCAAGTGCGGCCAAAGGTTTTCGGGCAACAACGCAGACTGACAGCGACATCATCACCAACAGGCCTTTGCGCAAAGTAACGTCAGCTGGTGGCAGCTTAGAAGCGTTTTCAGTTTCACCCACAAAACGACGGGTGGCGGCGGATATGGCCTGGATCGAATTCATGCACATCAGAAACATTGAGGAACTAGAAGACATGACTTCAAGTCGGGAGATTCGCTGTGTGATGGCCGGAGTTGCGTCCGCGGTCCAGGACAGAGACACTTCCCGAAATTTGGAAAGGGCCTCGATCAGGGCATCTCCGCGTCCGGAGTCCAGCGCTTGGCCGAGGGAGTGGAGCCCCGCAAAGAGAAAGCCATTTGTGATCAGAATCGATGGCGCGAATCCGCAACTTGACCCCTGTCAAACTACTTGTAGGGTGGTTGGCACCTGCAACCCTATCGAATGTCACAGCGCCGACCACGACTCCTCCGTGCACTGCAGGGTCATTTGGGAAGCTGAATATCGAGCAGGAAGCACCTGTGATCTCGTATATAAGGGCCTCGACATGTGCCACTCCAAATCCATGTGCACGCACAATGGCTGAGGCTGTGACAACTCCCATCTGCTCAGGTCTGGAGCAATATCCTCGCTTGACGAAATCTCCATGCTTGAACTGTGTCAAGGCATGACCATACCTGTCGTGCTGACGGAATGCATTGGAACATGGGCCTGGTCGAGCTCCAAGTCCAATGCGAAAGCCTGGCACACAAGGGAGGGAGCACGCAAGTCAAGCTAAAACATCAGGATTGTCATGGCGATTCAACTGTGCCAACACCGAACCAACAATTGTGATAGGGGCAAATCCCTCTGTGCTATCGGCAAGTTGCAGCGTCTTTGACTGTACTTGCACAGTGCCCAGCATCACGTTCGACTCGATGCGTGGCGATGCGAAAATGGAGAGCAGAAGCCGCAAGTGCATTCAGGGTCTTCACGTCTTTCTTCGTCACAGCACACAGCCAACAGCATGCACCATATTGGCCGAAGCTCCACGATCCCGCTGGGCCCCAACATCCTGGCAAACCTGTGAACTGACAAGTGCATGTACGGTGAAGGCAATAACAACTGGCTCCCAGAACAGACTGCGGGACCCTCCTGCTGCATGCCCAAAATCAGATCATGGCTAGTCAGGCTCGAGCTCCCTTTCCATCCTTCACTAGAATACCAATCGGTGATGGGCACTTCAATCGCTGGCCGGTACTAGAGCGCGTTTTCGTACCAGGAAATCCTGTTCATTCATCGCTGGGCAACCCAAATTGGGCCACCATGATCTCACAACTCTACGACTCCAGTCTACAAGATCTACAGGGAGCAAGATCACTGGCTTGAGCAACACAAGGGGTCCATGTACATCAGGAGTAGCTCTGGCAAGCCACGTGAACCCAATCCTTTAATTCGCCAGGGTTCGAGCTCAAGTTTTGATCCTTAACTCTGAACCCTGAACCTTCGTTTTTGACCATGAACTATAAAATATAAGTGCCGTTTGCTCCCACTCTATGCTTTTACTCAGGAGATTCCGTCAAATTGCCTTCCCTTGTATGTCCGAGCACTGGAAGCGAAGTCGATCTTCTGCGAAGCGAACACCTCAGATTTGGGCTCGCTACTTCAGACCGTTTTAGCCCTATAAAAGTACGAAAACCACTGCTGATTCAGGAGGTGTATCAAAACCAAGCAAACACTTTCAACAAAGAACAGGACAGAGAGCTGCAGAGGAACCCAGAGAGTAGCTTCGCAACTTTGAGCGCAAGTCCGGAAGATCGGCTTCAACAATTCTCAACTATTCTCATGGCACGCCAACTGCTAGCACAAACCAGCCTTCGCTGCCGCATTTGGGCATCTAGTGTCAAGCTTATGGGCAGGTTAAATACGCTTGGAGAGCCGTTCAGTGCAACTCCTCCCCACCCAAACACTGAGAGGGGACTTCCGCGCAGGGAGCCTTGCTGGACGCAACTGACATGTAACGCCACGCAGCATCATGTTCCGCATAAGTCCCCTCGAAGGTGCAAGCCGGGAACTGACTGAGCTGCGATTGAGATTGCGTACCTGAGCTGAGACTGCTCCACACCGATGCTGCTTAGTTCGCTACCCGAAATGCTGCCACGAGACGGCAACGGTGACGAACACTTTCTCCTTTGTCTGTCCCCACTTGAAGTGCGGTCTCCTTGGGTGCGGGTTCCTAAGACAAACACTCACGAAGGCGAACGCTCCGGAAAAGAAGCGATCTTTCTAAAATCATCGCAGATATGCAGCGCCCTCCACGCCCTGTGCAAAGCAGAGGCCGCAGCGAGACATCATCCTGCGTAAAGCTTCGTTCGAGGCACTGTAATGGCATTGGATGGGTGATTCCGGTATGTTTCACTAGCATTCAATGCATTTTGCTCTCACTCGGGTGCTCGCCTGGCCGCTGCACAAGGCAAAAATTGCGATTCCGCCCAGAAGAGACCTCAGAGACGAGCTGCAGACAAAGAAAGCATTTTCGGTTTCGCATTGAGTGCAGAGTTCGCGGCAGCCAGGCCATGGCTGCAAATCGAGCATTGTTCCATCTAGCGAAAAGCGTATGGTGTGTTGCAGTCGCCTCCAGTTCTCTGCAAGTAGCATCTAAAGACCACTTGCGCGCCGCAAGAACGAACTGCTCAAGTAGACGACTGTTTGAAATATCCAAGCAGTCAGTCTGCACATCGCAAAGAAGCTGTTCCCTGGACCACACTTCAGGTTGCCCCTTCTAGTCGTAGCATAATTGCGGTTCCTGATCCATCAAGTGCTTGGAGCCATGACGTGCAGTAGATTTGCGTCTCTGCTACGCTTTGCGAGTGGAGTGCGAGAGTACCTACCAGTCTAAACAAGCACACCAAGAAGTTTGCTCTCGGTTGCTGGGCAGTGCCGTTTCTCGCCCACCACGAGGGATGACGCATGGTCTCCATGTCTCTGCGACACCTAAGATTCATCAGAGCTGGCTCTTCTCCTGGCAGACAGTTTATGCTGTTGCTGTGGAAAGTGCTGGCACAGCTCTCAATGCACCATCGTCGACCGTCAATACTGAGCCCGTGTGTCTTCTTGAAAGCGTGTCTGGCCGATCCTTTTCTTTTTTTTGCCCCGGCTGCTCTGGCTTGATGTCTCCTCGCTTCCTGCCGCTTGACACACTGTCCAATACTGTCCATGCAAAAAGCTGTGCCTGCACCGAGACTGCTGAGACAGTAGACAGTAATTGCAATGGAGCCAATCCAAACGAGTGACAGTGAAGCTGCTGTAAGTGCTTGCAGCCTTCTTCGCGCTCCGTTTTTCGCTTCTGCTTTTTGGCCTGCGAACCGTGAACTGCAAGCTGTGTTTTCCACACTCACGGCAGTCCATGCGGCGCAATCATGATACAAGGACGCGTGAGTCGCCAGGAAACCTTGTCGTGCTCTTTGGAGCTCTCCTCTCGTGCACCACGCCCACCACATGGATCCGGACCGCTTCAGAAGACAAGTTCGAAAACACGGAGGGGCGAAAAGATAGTACTCGGCAGCCTGAAACCTCAGAAATGCCTCGCTCTAACAGTCCAGATACATGCGGTGCCACACTCGCATGTAAAGGGTCTTTCCTGTTTTGCCAAGATCGTGCGCTTATTGGCTTCGTAATGCTGTTTGCGCTACTTCTGAATTTCTTCTGCACGATCTTCTATATATTGTTTATTTTTGAAAATAAAATCTTTTCTGTGGTTTTCATAATATTTTCCTTTTGTTTTTGAAGTACTCGCTATATTCATCGTGATACTCCTTGTGTGATCATCCCGCTGTTTGCCTTTTTTACGCACTCATTGTTCTTTATGTGTTCTCCTTCTCTTCTTACGAGTTGCTCCTTGTTCTCGCATGGGCAGTCCTCAACAAGCAATATTTTGCAGTTATCAACCCCAAACTTTTCGAAGAGCACTCTTGCGGTGGTGTCAAGATTCCCAGTGTCTAGAAACTGTTTATAACTTTTCCTGTGTCTCTCCATGCGCTTACTTAATGATTCTGTTGTAGAGCCGTAATATCATTCATTGAATCAAACATCAACTGTTATTGTGTAAATTTTGCAATTCTTATACCTGTCCATCGCCGTAACTTACCGTAGTATACCCGCAAATCTTTAAATACTGATTTAATAGTTGCAGTAAATTATCATTCGGTAATCGGCATTACGATGTTGAAGTTACTCATATCATATTTGGGTGTGCCACGCTTCGCTTTCAAAGCCTTTCTAGACTTCATAATTTATGTTAGCACTTCTTCAGATATCTTGTCTGGCTTCAGTTTGATATTGCCAGGTTCATCATATTCTTTCATCTTTATTTTTCTGGTTGTGTCTTTGTGAAGATTCCCTCTTCTTGATCATATATGCCTCGTCCTTGTTACGCTTGTGATATTACAGTCTGCTGTATATTGCGAGTGGTTCTTGGATTTCTTCGATTGCCAGATTTTCAGGTTTCTTAGTCATATTACTATACAATATATATATATATATATATAAATATGTATATATATATATTCATGTAATGTTTAAACAGATCAAGTTCTTTATAAAATAAAACATCCAACAACTAAAAAACATCTTTGGGAAAAATACCTAAAAAGAAAACAAATATATAGTTTAATCATATTAGTATATGTCCAAAGCCAGTAAGCGAAATACGGAAGCACTGCAAACATTCTATAACAACAATCGAAACCCCATCCCCCAAGCCACCAGAACCAAAGTCGAAAACAGAATTAATCTATACTCAGATCGGAACATCGCTCAATTCAGCACAGCAGACAACTAAATTAGGAAACTCACCACTGCAAAAACAGACAAAGAAAACTAAAGCGGAAAAAGACTACAAAAAGTTTTATGACAAACATAAGGACATAAGGATGAAGAACAACCAGGTCAGAGAATGGCACAAGCAAAAAAAGACTGGCAAGACCCCCAAACCTAAAACAAAAACATCGTCCTTGGCAAACCTGAAACCTTAAAAGGAGATTCTGGCTACAGTGTTGCCGGTCTTGGGTGGCCGACCCCCAACCCATAAGCAAACAATCTTATTTGGCAAACCCGAAACCTTACAAAGAGATGCTGGTTGCTCAGCCGCAAACCCTAATTACAGTGTTATAGGTCGTCAGATCTTGATTGGCAGATTTGGCAAATCTGACACCTTACAAGGAAATTCTGGCTGGTAAGCCCCAAACCCTACAGTGTTACACGTCGTGGGTGGCAAACCCTGCTACCTAAAACAGAAAGATCACACTTGGCAGACTTGGCAAACCTGAAACTTTAAAAGGAGATTCTCGCTGGCAAGCCGCAAACCCTGGGGTGTTACAGGTCGTCGGTGCCAAACCCCGAACCCCTACACAACAAGATCCTACACAACAAGATCGACTTGAAACGAGATTCTGGCTGGCAAGCCCCAAACCCTACAGTGTTAGTGTCACAGGTCGTCGGTGGGAAATCCCCAACCCTAAAACAAAAAGATCCTACTTGACAAACCTGAAACCTTAAAACGATATTCTGGCTGGTAAGCCCCAAATCCTACAACGCTTCAGGTCGTGGGTGGCAAAACTCCAAGCCCTTAAACAAGACTTGGCAAACCTGAGACCTTGAAAGGAGACTGTGGCTGCAAGCCCCAAACCCTACAGTGTTACAAGTCGTGGGTGGCAAACTCCACTACCTAAAACAAAAAGATCAGACTTGGCAAACCTGAAACCTTCAAAGGAGATTCTGGCTTGCAAGCCTCAAGCCTGCAGTGTTACACGGTAAATTCTTTTGGTGCCTAGGTACATAACAAAATCGGTGTGGACTATGCTGCTGGATTCTCTATCAGTGCTTCCACTTGGCATTGCGGAGATCCACAGACTGATGGTTTTAATGTGTTCATGCACTCAGGAGGCTTGCTCACGAATCGACTTAAATCTAAGATGTCTGGGCTGTCGCCTAAATGTGTTTCGTGCAGTGAAGACGACGGCATGGTTCATCGACGTTACCATTGCAGTGGCATTGAAGGCTTCTATAGGCCTACAACCCCAAACCCCACAAAAAAAACTAACATATGATAGGCCATACTTGAAACCGCTAAGCGACATGTTGGCTGGCAAATTTGACGCCCCAAAACAGTGCTGCTTGGCAAATCCCAAACCTTACAGATCGGTCGTGGCAACCAACAAAAGCTATCACTTTGCAAACGTTAAGGCTTCAAAGCAAAGGTTGGTAGGCAAGCCCCAAACCCTAAAAGAAGAAGTTACTAGCTGCAAGTTTCAGACCCTCAAAGCAAACGTTGCTTGATAATTTCCCCACCTTCAAGATCGCAGGTGGCAAAACCCAAATCCCAAATCAAGAGGATATTACTTGCGAGACTTGATAGCTTAAACGGATTTGTGGCATGGCAGATCCCAAACTCCTAACGGTCGTTGGTGGCAATGCCCCAAACCCTAGAAGAACAAGATAATACTTGAGATGTTGCTTTTCAAATACCACACCAAGCCCGAAAGACCGCCGGTGGCGAAACCCAAGCCCCAAACAAAAATGTTATGTAGCATTCAAAGAGGCTTTGCTTGGCAAATCTTAAACCGTAAAGATCGCAGGTGGCAAACCCCAAAACCAGAAGATATTACTTGCCAGCCTGAAACCTTGGGCAACACCCAAACCCTGAAAACAGGATGGTATTAATTGACAAGCTTGAAACCCTAAACGGCGACATTGCTTGGCAAATCCCCAACCCTTAGATCGCGGTGGCAAACCCTACAGGGAGAAAGTATTGCTTGGCAAAGTTCATTCCTTAGACTGAGCTCTTGCTTGAAATATCCCAAACCTTTGAAGATCTTGGGTGGCAAGCCCCCAACCCTAAAAGAGAAAAACAGTACGCTCGACAGACTTGAAACCTTAAAGGAGATGTTGCTTGGCACATCCCAAACCCTCGCGATCTTTGATGGCAAAGCGCAAACCCTAAAGGAAGAAGATGTTACTTGTCAGAGCCTGAAATGCTGAATCCTGAAAAATATTACCTTCTAACCTGAAACCTGACAAGGAGAGTTTGGTTGAACAAAACCGAGCCCTAAACATAGTAAACCAGGACCTTTTGAAGTGCCACCAGGGGGATGGTGGGGTTGGAAGCGCCCGGCAAGACCACTCAAGCTCCCGATCCTCGTCTCCGAAGCTTCCCATCAGAAACAAGTGCTTGTTCAAAGATCTGAAGCACAAATCGCAGCAGCTTTCGCAGAAATTTGCTATGCAGATTGTCGATCTTTCAACGACTCTGCGGAACCCACAGGTGGTCCAAGCTACTTTGATGTGAGCGGTCCGGAAATGTATGGAAATGTTTGGGTAAACCTACGAAGCCAGCCTTTCTGAAAACCTGGCGGATTTTTCTGCGCGAGCAAATGTCTGAGCCCGAGGTTTCTCCAACTGCCTCAGCGTTCCGGAAAAGACCGAGCGATCTCTAGCCGAGCGCAGCTGGTGAAACTTGGTCGAAGAGAACGAAGTGAAAACGAGCGTGCACTAGTTACGTCAAGCCCGAACATGTTTGAAAACCGGAATCACGGATTTCCCCAAAGCCGTCTTCAAACGACCGAAAATGAAAGAAATCCTGGGCTTCAATCACGAAATCACCACGCAAAAGCACGCACGTGCGTGACCAGTTGGTTGAAACTGAAAACAGAAAACATGTTGCTTGCTTGGCAAAGCCCAAAATCTCAATACAGTGCGGGGCGTCAAACATCAAATACCCTTAACAAAAAATATACTGTTGACATCGTAATTATACACCCCGGTAGGTTATAAAACCCGACCCCCAGAACTCAATTATCAACCCC